CTCCAGCCCTTCCCAGGGTGACCTCGTGGACACTCTGGGCACAACCAAGAAAACTCCTCTCCCTCACCTGCTCCCGGAGCCCTTAAAGGGATAGACTCTGGCCACAGTCCCTGTGCCAGCTCCAAGCCTGCCAGCCCTGATCCAGCAGTTGCTGCACCTCACCCAGTGGCCCCAGCGTGAGCCAGGCAGCCAGTGCCAGGCAGCCCTCCACCGCTCCCCAGGACCAGTCTACCAGCTCCCAGGAGCCTGCCAGGGGCTGAAAAAGGCAGGCGTCTGCCTGGTCTAGTGCAGAGATCAGGGACCTAATTCAGGTTTGGGTGGATGCCTCTAACGTCCATGATCTCTGCACTAAATGGAGGAATGCAACCGTCTACAGGTGGATGGCTTCCAGCCTGGCCACCCATGGCCACATGCGAACCCAGCAGCACAGCTGCCAACCAGGGGCAGACCCAGACCCCTGCCCCTATTTTGATGCCGTGGACTGCATCCTGGGGGGCACGACGGTCCGTGCCCCCCAGGTGGTCATCAACCTGGGGCAGAGCTTGCTGCTTCCTGCTGCTCCAGCCCCTGCTGCCTCCCCAGCTACCACTCCTCCTACCTCTCCTTCTCCCCCTCCCGCTTCCTCCTCCCCACCCTTCCCAAGGATGCCGAGGCCCCCGCACCTGCAGTGCAGGGAGACAGTTGGGCCAGCAAGACCCCTGAGCTCCTCCTCCCTCTTCCTCCCCTTGCCTTCCCTTTCCAGCTGCCTCCTCCCAGGTTTCCCCTCCCCTTTCCCACCCTCTCTCCTCCCCTCTCCCACCTTCTTTCCCCAGTCTCACCTCAGTTTCATTCCCCCCCCACTCCAGCTTTGTTCAATAAAGAGGCTTTGTTGTATTGAACACGTGTCTTTTATTGTACAGCAGGAAGAGAGATTAGGGAGGGGTAAGTGGAAGGACATGAGGGAGGAATGAGGCACAAGTCTCCAGTGGGGCACACCAGGGAGACAGTTACTGACTGCAGAACGTGCTGCCAGGCTCGAAGCAACACATCCAGGAGAAGTACCAGAGTGCCCAGGGGTGGCTTCAGCTCCATGATGCAGAGTGCTGTGGTATCCTGAGTGAGGGCAACCAGAGCACACAGAGAAAAAAATGCTTTGCTGTCCCTCAGCGAAGTAGGCAAGCAAGCAGGGAAAACTTACAACCGGCTGTCTGGAGGGTCCCTTTAAGCACAGGCCTCAGCCTCAGGCAGCAGCCACACACGGTAACTCCTGACCTGATGCCCTGCCAGAACTGGTTCCAGCCAGCTTTAAATGCGATTCAGCGTCCTATCAGTGTGGACACACTATTTTGAAATAGCAAAATGCTATTTTGAATGCATTTTGTGTCTAGACGCGTTATTTCGAAATAAGCTATTTCGAAATAATGCTGTAGTGTAGACATACCTTAAGGTGCCACAGGAGTCCTCATTGTTTCTGCAATTTTTATCTTGCTACCTTGAGCCGAGCATGTGCTAACTCACTCCCAACTGCAATGTAGACATAATCTCAGTACTGAATGCACGACTCTACATCTTTAGATAAAAAACCAGGCTCTGTAGGTTTGGAGCTGTAACAGATTTGCGGTCTATGTGAGTTAGGCATAGAAGAGGGCTCCTGATTATACATTAATTTAATGAATATTAGTTTGGCATACTGTGTGGATTTAATAAAGAGCACCCTCCCCATATAGCAGGAAATTTAATTATTTATAATGTCTGCTCCTGAGGTGAAAACAAAAACAATTTTATTTTTAAAAAATGCTGGTAAAACAAATTATTTGACAAAAGTAAATTACATTATTAGCAAATTAAACAAATGAGACTGATACAAGGAAACATTTTCAAAGAAAACATTTGTTTGTTCTCAGAGAAATATGTAGTCAGCCCAACAGCTTGCGAGTTGGGTTAAGAGTTGGATCAATTGTTGAAACATATCTGTATACCGACTTGGAATGGATAGAATGCAAAGAGATAATGTTTTAGGTGTTATTTGCTGATTATGAGACACAGTGCTCTTAAAATTCTCCTACCAGCTATTTCAGAAGTGCCATGATGGCAACCCACTATGGGAGTGTTACATGCCCCATATTTACACCCAGTGTTAACACATCACATTGTAGATCTGACAGCAAACCCAAAGAGTATTTTTTTTTTGGTTGTAAAAATTGAGCATACCTTGATGAGACTCACCTAATGAGGTTTTAGCTGTGAAGAAGACTACAGCATGGAGGTTCATGGGATAATATTTTTAATTTTTAAGACGCATACAATCCTCTGAAAAGCACCTATTCAGGAGTCCCGTGTCTTTCCTATTCAATATATGCAATTATTTAAAGACACAGAATCCAGAAATCTAATTACTTGATTTTTAATGGCAAATGTTATTTGTATTAAAAGATCAGGTAATGAATTATCTTAATTTTGCTGTTTTCTTAGAGTCAGATTTGTTAAAGATTGAGGTTTTTATATACAGCATGCTAAAAAATATATAACAGTGTTGTATTGGACATATCAGAAGATATGTGTCTTTCCCTTATAAAACAAAAATTATTTTCTATGTAGGGGGGAAAAGGAACCTATTTTAAGCTATTTGTGGCTCAGGTTATCCACTAAAAAGTCTCTGAGTACTGCATTGCAGCATAACACATTGTCTAAGAAAATAATATGGATCTTTTAGTTCCCACACAAAGTTCTTTTGGAGCTTACAATAATAAGCTCCTGTGTAATGAAAGGTGTTCAAACAACTATTGGTGCAGAAGACAATCACTTTTTATACAAAATAATTTTCTTACTACTATTCTCAGGTGTTATTTTTACTGTTTCTTATATCTCACAATGGCAGAGGTTATTAGATGTACTATTTATATTATGATGGAGTAACAAACCTGAATGAATGGCAGTAGAGCAGTATTTATTTTATACTTCTCTATGATAGCTCTTTGGACGAGAATGGATTAAGTCTTAATGGTGCCCCACATCTGTGGAAAAACCAATGCCTTCACAAAAATCAAAGTCCTCAACACCTACAAGGAAGACTCATCTTCCCACCCAAACCCTTTCACTCTGCTCCTGACAAACTTTCTTCTAGATTTTGTGCTTTTTACTACTTGTTATTCCTGCAGAGAAGCCCACTTCTCTATCCCAAGGAGTCTGTCCTACTCATCCCCTTTTTAGAGTGCTAATATGTCATCATGTCTATGTCTATTACATTCCAGTTCACACTGAATTCCACCTTCCATTTAGAAATGGAGGATTATAAAATACTCCATTATCTGTCCTTCAGACTTATACCACTCAAATTCAAGCAAGTATTTCCAGTTTTATGAAATGGAAATGAAACAAACAAAAACGCTACGAGATTTGCTTTTTGAATTACTTTTGTGAAAGACCCATTGGTTGTTGGCAAGCTGGGAAATAAAACTGGCTCATCCAGGATCAGCTATCCAGTCAATCAGTATGCTTTTGAATGATCTTTCCATATCTGACCTCAATACGCATTTTGAAAGGAACTCTGCACAACACTATGAAAAGACAAACTTGGGAACTTAAATGCATAACTCTACTAGACATTAAAAACTCTGGATGAAACAGAGACCCTGGGTTTATGGATTATTACAACAGTTAAGATCCCACCACTACCTGATAACCCCTAATTGCCCACTTAATTTTAAGTGGTCTCCTTATGGTTAACGATATGTGCAACTTGTATTTAGTTCAGAGCCTCAGGTTTCCTTCCTCAAATATTAAGAAGAGCTCTGTGTAGCTTGAAAGCTTTTATGTTACACCAACAGAAGGTGGTCCAGTGGAACCTTGGACTACTTTGTCCTGTAATAACGAACAGTTATTCTAATGGGGTCTAATTATTTATTTCCTCCTACATTAAAGTATACCAGATAGCAAACAGAGTCTCTGATATCTAGTGACAGCCCAGTCCACTGTGAGCAATGGTTATAAGATACGTGAAGACTGACCTGGCGTTTTTCTTCATTTTTGTTTTTTGTTTTTCTTCATTTAAATCATTGCTCTAGGGTGAGGCTAGGGGTGAGGGGGTCAGTATGCAGGCTGCCCTGGGAAGAGAGGACTAATCCTGCTTCTCTCACCATAGCAGCTTAGGGCCAGGTGAGAAGCACCTCACAATAGCCACTGCAGTTCCAGTGGGCACAGCCAGGAGAAGGGATGCATGTTCCCCAGCTGGCGCAGGTCCAGATTTATCTACACCCTGTGCTCCCCAGCCAGAGTGAGGAATGCAGAAAACTGTGCACTTTCCCCATGGTCCCTGACAAAGGGGGACACCAGCAATGTCACCAAACAAATCGGGGGATGGGAAGGAACAGTGCCTGGGAGATGGGAGGCTCAGGGTTGAGGCAGTCTTAGGCAGGGTGGTGCCCCCAGCCAGTCCCTTTTACCTGCCTGGTGACTCTGTCTCTTTTCTATATGAATTTTTGAGAAGCAGTCCCATTCCAGGCACATCCCCTTTTCCTAGCACAACCAAATCCTTACCTTTTTTTAAGTTCTGATAAGAGGAAACTGCATACCAAATCAGATTGTCTTGGCTCTTACCATTTAGAAGTTCTTGAACAGACAATCAGACAGATGCACAAACTCTCTCAATTATATGGTGGATGTATATTAACCTACCCGTGTTTTGTTTACCGTATGTATACGTATATGTTGGCAGTAAATATTACTGGAACATCACAGCATATAGTTAATGTCTATATAAATAAATACTCCATGTAGTTGATACATATCTGGGTTTGTGTATTTCTACCTCATCAAAGAACCGTCATATTAATTTTTGGTAGCAGTGGTGAAGGATAGATTATAATCTACAGAGCATAGAGTTTAAAAGGAGAAAAATCAAGTATATAAATAAACAGTTATAACAAACTTTTAATTTAAAAGTATTCTTGAATTAATTTGCTAATATAATGTATTAGATTCTGGAGACACTTAATTTAAATATTTTTACTTTATAAATATAGTACGTTTACCCCTAAAATGCAAGGCAGACGGATGGGGACTTCAGGGAGAATCATCACAAAGAGCACAAGTGTGAGTGGAGAGATGTACCAACTGGAACATAATGATGGGAGTCAATCAGATACTGCTGTTGGGACAGTTGGAACAGGTGGAAAGAAAAGACGATCCAGCCTCAGTGCCAAAGTGGTTGCCATAGTTTCTCGAAGAAGCAGAAGCACATCCCAACTTAGCCAAACAGGTGAGTGAAAATGGGTCTCCTTAAATATGGTATCTTACACTTTACAGTTGGGATATGGTCTAATCAGATGTGTCTGTCAGAATGTATCCAGTGAGAAAAAGTTCCTTCCATCTCAGAATTTTTGAGTCATTTAATTTTGTCTGATTTCTAAACTTGGCAAAAAAAAAACAGACAGTAATATTTTAACATATGTATTATAAATCTTCCCTATCTTTCAGAAGCCTTGTTTATATGTAGGCAAGGAAATGCAAAGAGACATGAGTATCAAGAGTTTATGGGCTAGACCTGATTGATATACTATATGTACAAAATCTTTTTGACAGCACAATTCAGTACATTGTAGCACTGGTAACCAGCAGCATATGAATGAAGGTCACATATATAAGACACATAATTTTAAGGTGTAGTTGCTGCACCAATGTGTTTTAATATTATTTTAAGAGATTACGTCTTACCTCGATTAAGAGAAAACCTAGTGTTTTCTATTTAAAAACAACAATGGCAAAATGGGGTCAGTGAATTCAGCATGGTGCTTCATTATGAGCTTTAAGGGTTTCAATTCTTTATTGCTACTTCAGAAACCTTAAAAGCCTCTGTGGCCTGAAGGGGAAATAGCTCCCAGAGAAAGGAGCAAAAAGAAGCGATGTTTTAAGGTCCCCCATCCTGTTCCTACTGAACGCACTGAGTTTTGCTATTGACATCAGTAGGAGCAGGCTCAAGTCATTAATGTTCTTTGTCGCTAAAAGAAAAGAAAGCTTCAGATGAGCTCTGTACTCAGACATACTGCAATGTTTCTATCACAAAGTTAGGATGATCCTAACGTGAAGGTAAGTATCAATATTGCATATGTGTCTTATCAAGTCTCTTCATTCTCTTTCAGTTTTCTTTTGTGAGCAGGAGAAGCAAGTTTGTTTTTATTGCAATTTCAAGCAATTAAAAAATTAAATATTAATCTACTTCTAGTCTTATGTTTTTAAAGTGAACATGCATGCTAAATTATGCATTTGAGTCAAATGATTCTGGATCATTTGATGTCCAAAATTAGAAGATTATGTTATTACTGTGTTGTGCTGCTCGGAAATGTAGTAGGATCAGTGTCATTAATCTAAGTAGCAGATTGTTACTTAAAAATAAACCTTATTATTTCTGATCAATCCAAATCAGCTACTGTGTTCAAAGTGTCTGTATTGATATATTCCCAATTAATTAAGAGCTATATATTTTTAATTTTATTTATAATTATTTAAAGTTTATATAATTTGGTATGAAACTGTATTCTTTATGATCTTCAACCCTCACTGAAACAAGAACCAAGGAATTGACATACTGGATTAGATCTGTGATCCACCTGCTACTCTGGCACTCTTTCTTGGAGAGTGGCCAGCACAAACCACTATCCAGGACAGTGAACGGTGCAGGAAACTCACCAGCAGGCAGAGGTAGAGTAATTGACTGGTTTTACCAAAACCACAAGAGATAGTTGATATGGATTTAATCAGGCCACAACTTTATTATGAGAGATGTCTGGGACTAGCCAGCAGATAAAAGTGTATGGTGCAGGTAACCCCCTGTTTATTCAGTAACTACCGAGGGGGATTCCACCAGCTCCCCCTCATTTTCGCAACCTTACCATCCACTCCCCCTCACCTTGCAGGAGGGTTACGGTGAGCTATAATAAAGGTAGGTTGACTCCCTGCCATTCCAGCCAGAGGAGCCCCCGACCCTCCACAGTTCCATTCCTTTAACCAGCATTTCCTCTTTAAGTTTTTTACCAGGCCATTTATCTGGTAACTGGATGCCTTCCTTCTGGAGTACCTGCAGTGGACATCTGCCACAAGGAGACACCAGCAGTTAGCTTGGCTGCCTCCCTCTGCTCTCCTGCCCAGCTCCCTTGCCTGCTGCATGGAGAAAGGGGGTTCCAACACTAGGGCTTGCACCTTGAGGCTGCGTCTACACTGCAGGCTTCTTGCGCAAGAGAGTGTCCACACTGCATGGACGCTCTTGCACAAGAAAGCTTTGATTGCCATTAACAGAATGGCCATCAGAGCACCTGTGCTTTTTCCCATAGAGGTTTCTTTCACAAAAAAACCCTCTGGAGTGTCCACACTTGCCTATTTGCACACTAGCTGTAGCGCAAAAGGGAGTTATGCCTTGTAGAAGGAGGTTTACCTATTCTGGCAAAAGCCTTCTGTTCTGCCATTTTACTGCTCATTTACATGTGCAAAAGGATGTGGACGCTCCACAGGTTTTTGCACAAAAACCTTGCAGTATAGACATAGCCTTAAAGTCTTCTGCCCTTACATTTCGACAGGGTGAGTCAGCACTGCAAACCTGACTCCCACCCACCTTTTTGCAGCAGTTTCTGACCTTGTTCCCCTCCTCCTGCCATAAAACACCTCTGCCTTTCTCTGTCAAGCCTGCCCAACACACAGACACAGACTGTTGGGGAGGCACCTCAGGGCTGCACTGACCATGTGTCTGCTCCTATATGACTTCTCCCCATACTGACCTTAGCCCAGGGCAGGGCCCTGCTTCTTCCCACCCCGGCCCCACCCCCACTCCAACCCAGGCCCCGCCTCTCTCCCTCTTCTCACCCATTCCATCCTTTCCCCCAAACCCACTCCCTGCCCCACTCCACCCACACTCCACGTTTTCCTCCCAGCTCCCTTCCCTGTATAATGTGGCCTGGGGGATTAATGGGGGTCCAATGCCTGGAGCAAGTGATGACTCCCCCACACATACTCATCCGGGTGGTGGGGAGAAGGAGAATGACTTGGCCCACTTCCTTCCCCAACTCCCAGCCATGTTGCTCTGCCTCCAGCTGGTAAGTATGAAGTTCTACCCCTTCCCCAAAGCCACCTCTCCCGAACACCAGCAGCTGCAGCTCCACCCTCCCAGGCCTGAGTGTCCCCTCACCTACTCCCCCCTTTAACTGGTTAACCAGTTAAACACTGCATCCGTAGATGGAATGACTCTGCCCACCAGCTGCTGGCCCTTTTCCCCTCCTCCCCATAACATTTGGGGGCACATGTGACTCTTCCTGCATCCCCACACATCTCCCCTGCGTGCGCACACACACTGTCTTTTGATACAGTGCAGTCATTTGCCTGCCATGAAGGTTTTGCCCTGATTCCTAATAGAATGGAACGCTGATATAAAATGGCAGTGTTTCTGTTTGTTTAGGATTTTTTATAGCATTAATTACTGTAAATCTGAATATTCTTGTTATCCGTGTAACATACAATAGTTCTTTGAATCTTGTTCATATTTCATTTGGACTTTTATGTTTTCCACAAATGCGACATCACACCGTTGGTTTGTAAAGTTTTTGAAGGATAATATTGCTAAATTCAGCCTGAAGAGACTCAAACTATCCCATAATGCTTTAGTGTGTTCAACATCTGCGTACTACTTTCAGTCCAAAAATGGTGTTTAATATGATGATTTCTTTGCTTTATTGTAAATCCAATCAATTCTACTGTAAGATAAAATCTAATCAAATTCTGTTTATTAGCTTGCATGCAGGCCTGCCAGGGGGGAAGTGGTAGAAGGATCAGTTACCCTGGGGCCAGATGATTCAAAAGGCCTGGGGCTCCTGGCTGTTACTGCTGCTACTGCTGCAACGGTGCTACCTGGAACCTTTCGGCCATTTAAATCACTGGTGGAGCATCACATGGGGCGCTTCAGGAGGCTCTGAGAGCTCGGGGGAACATGTCACAGTCTGAGCAACTAGGTGTCCAGTTTTGAACCAGACAGATCAGTATTTGAGCTTTCTGTTCAGGAAACAAATTGAGAAAATATAAATGAGAAAATATAAATGTCCAGTATTTTCTAAATAAGATGTAATGTAGATTGTGATGTAATGTCAAGTGTATTTTTGACATTGAAACTATCTGGTATTTTTGTTGAAACCATCTGGAAATCCTATGAGCAACATTAAGGGCTGGTTGCCCCCCCCCCAATCCTTCTGCCTGAAACCCTGCACCTGCTGGTAGCATGGCAGTGGGCACCATGCATACCTTGCTCAGTGGACTAGCAAGGCTATCAGCTCCCCTGCTTGTATGGTGACAAGTTTCAGAGGGGCAGCCATTTTAGTTGGCTCAGCAAAAACAACAAGGAATCCTGGGGCACCTTAAAGACTAACAGTTGTATTTGAGCATAAAATTTTGTGGACTGCATCTGATGAAGTGGGTTTTTGTTTATTACCTGTGATTTCTCAAAACATTCCCAACAATTCAGAAATCCCCAGTATTAGAATAAAAATTAAGTAATTCCAAAAGGACAGGAATCAAATATTGACCTAGTACATAGAATCATTTGCATTCCTTTGAAAAGCAATCAGTTGTGGAGATCCAGGTGTCCTGCATCTGAAAAGACAATGAAAAATAATGTTTAAATGTATACAGCACAGTCATGTGAAAATCCCAAAAGCCCTCGTTTGGACATATTTTTAGACCTATACACAATTATAACTTTACTAGGGGGCTGCATCCCCTCTTTCTGCATGCACCAGTCCTCCTCCCCCTTCTCCTCCCGGCTGCTTTCACTTTGCTGAGAGATCCTGTTGATGACCTGATGACATCATTGGTGTCCAGTAGCCTAGGCAGGGGAAGACTTTGCCTTTCCAAACAGTCAGGCATGGCCCTGCCCCCAGAACGTCTACTGTAGGAATACTCGGGGCAGAATGTGCTGCCCCTGGTACCTATCATTCCCAGTGTTCTGGGGCAGGGAGGCTAAAATCGTGTGGCTTCCTCCCGCCCTGGTGCTCTGGGTGCCAGGGAAGCTCATGCCATGCAGTCTCCTCCCTCCCCAGTGCTCCAGAGCTGGGGAGGCTGGGGCAAGTGCCTGCCCCATCCCACCTCTTCCCCTTTCTGTGGGGGGACATGCACTCAACATGCTGCTCCACCTCCTCCCCTTCCCATGGAAGGTGGGATCTCAGTAGACAGGGTCCCTAGATGATGTCATTCTCTCATCTGGCAGGGAAAAAAACAATATAGAGA